CGTGGGTGTCCTCGTGGAGTTGCTCGAAGATAAGAAAAAGTTTTATCGTTAATCAATCCCGTTCATGGTATAGGTCTTGCTTATCATTCGGATCCATCCCTGAATCTTAGTGGCGTTTTTGAATGCGTATCTGGCTTGTACTACGGCTTGCGGTAGTCAGCCGGTGTATTGTTTGATAGTTCACTTAAAGGCATAGTTCAGGATAATTTTGAGGAGCCCTTCCCCTTTTATGTTAAAAAGCGGAAGTGTAGATGTAGAGGAGAACTGGCGGCGAAGAAAGCGAAAAAATCCGCCTACTTCAAGGCTTCTTAATAGTGGGATTGAGGTTACACGAGATCACCGTGACGGGAGTGGCAAGTGAGGATATTTGGACGAGATTTAACTTGCTCCCATTGCTCCCCCACCTCCCCCGATATACGCCTAGGCCAACCAAGCCTTCCTTCCCTCCGGGGTCGGTTAATTGGTACCAGACTCGTATGGGAGGATAAGAGCACTGACTTGTACATCTGCTGGCCACCTCAAGTCATTGGTCACATACGCATTCAAAACGTCACTAGGTCTCTAAATGGAAGTCGAAGCGTGGGCGCACCCCTCAGACAGGATTGACCAACGTCCCAAGACTTCATCCTTTATCCATTGCGCAAAGAGATGACTACACCAAGCCAAAATTTTCTAAAACTGCCTTTCACTGTCGCCATGGGTTCTTAGAACAAGTCGTTTGAAGGAGTCTCTCTCGTGAGATAGTGTAGCCTATACAAAGCCATTGAAGCTCGTCCACTATGGGTGTGGCATTCACACGACACAACTTCTGAATCCTTATTGTGCTCTCTCCAGGAAGTTTTTCGGGCTTATAACGACAAGTGCGGTAAGAGGAGGCCCCTCGAACTCCTGCAATAGGGAAATCTCAGCAACGTTTTCATCGTGAACTGTGCCTTTAGCTTCAAGAAGTCACATGTCAGTTGTAAAAATCTATAGTTAGATCACAGTCCTCTTGGAAAGCGTTAAGGGAATTGCACGAGGGTTGCAATTGCACGTACCTTCGGTATACCACAGGACAAAATCATGGAATCGGCCCTGGGGACAAGATATCGCCGGTTAAAGTTTTCAACAAATGTGCTCTATTGTGATTAGTGCACGTGAAAGTACGTCCACTCTTGGGTGTGGACGTCGACGAAGGCGGTTTTTATGTTCGATTGCGCTTTATCCTGTGTTTCTCGATACGTCAACCACCCTCTGGTCAAGCATGGAGGAGAGATTCGTCGTAGTGGGGAACTTCAGAAGCCATTATAATCGTTAACTGGGTTCGTCTCTGGTCTATTCAATCTCGAAAATAGGGATGTCAGATGGTTTCTTTTTGAACTAAACCTGAGTAGACAGGAAGCTCTTCAAAGTCTAGCCGATGAAGGAGATTTTTTGCAATAGTATTTTAGACCGATCCTAGCCACATGTCCAGAGACATGGAGACCGGGTCTCATATTCTACTCAATCAACCCACCCAGAAATCGCAACCCACCCAAAAATGGGTGTCTTCAGTTCGACAGTTGGTACTTACAAACAATGTAGATAAATAGGAATGAAGCTGGATACTAGCAGAGCAACGAACACCCATTCTTCAGCCTATGCTCCACATTGCTCAGAGTCATTGACAAAAGGAGGATGGTTTTGGGGCTCTCAGCTATTTCCCTTGTTTCATTCTCCTTAGGCGACCCACCGAACCTCTAAAACATCGATTCTTCTGTTGTCGCAGAATACACTTCAAACTGATCCGCGTGCCTGCTGCTGCCCACTGACCTCCAATTTGTGGAGACTGGAAACGGTTTCCAGCGTACTAAACTACCTTCTTGTCTGGGAGGTTAAGTGTCCCATCTAGAACACTCTTTTCTATCTACAATTAGCGCCCTGGGAAATATATAGAACTGAAACATCAGTGCATGGTGTAAGATGTACTTTTTCACGGCAGATTAGTCTAAAGTGATTGAAGTCTAAGAGTGCTTGAAAGAACGTCACTAATGCATTTTTCTGAAGATTCTGAATGCCCTAAGTGCCGCAATTTATGTTCTTTAGGAGTAGGGGTTTCTCAAATCGCGTTATCGTTGTTTCATTGGGTGCCTGCCTTTTCTATGCCGACTCAGTATCACCTAATCAGACCACCATCTCAAAACCTGCATTATTTATTGGGCCGGGATTAAAATCCTTGTCGAGGTAGACAAAACTTTTTTCTTACGAATACTATTAACTGATTATTCACATATCATTTGGGAGGAACTGGTGTAGTGGTGAGTGACGCACTACACACACACATGGTCACGGGTTCGAATCCCGGATCAATATTCGCCTAGGTCAACAAAGCCTTCCATCTATCCATGGTCGATATCCAGGGTACCGGATTCGTCTGGGAAAACTAGAGCACTGAATTAAGCATCGGCTGGACACCGTCAGTCAAAGGGTAGGCCCCATACGCATTCAAAAACGTCACCGAGATTCTGAATAAGCGCTGAATAAAGAGCACGCGCATACCCACATGGGGATTGCTTATCGCAAAACTTTATCCTTTTACTCTTATGCAATGGTTATGATCATTGACACTTTCAATCATTCCAGTGCCTTCCTTCCAAAGTCACCTCATAGCAAGCGTAGAAACTCTTCTTCTGTTCCAATGGGACTCCTACCTAGCCCACCCTAGAAAGAACCTAGCATCATCGAAGTTTTATCCCTAACGTCAAGTACAAACTTTGTCTAGAAACACAAATGTTGTATTTTAACTTACGCCTCGTCTCCGTAACAAAGCTTACATATTCCAAATGGGTCGAGGAATCTTCTTATCATTAAGTTGGAGAACGGAGTGCGCTGCGCGAAGAAAAGCGAGAATGTTAGGAACTTCTGGAATCCCTTTAGAACTGTTCATTTATATTGGACGTGATTAAAAGAGTATTTGGACGAGATTTTTGTCGCAGTCGACCAAAATGTCTAGCCGATAGCGCAAGTTCATAAGTAATCTCTGAAACCTTTTTAGTCATTTCAAGCCTTCGAAGGGATCCATGTTGTTTAGCAGAAATGCTGTAAACTTTTGGGGACGGCTATTAAGAAGTCTTGAGCATCCTAATTGTTCCGTTGATGAAAGGGCTTCAGTACTAATGCTTATGCTATGTACCTATAGAATCCCCCATCTGAGTACCACCATACGCTCCAATCCATGAAAGAAAGTTTTTTGAGAAAAAATTGTTTGGGATAAAAAGGCGTCTGGTTGGCATCAATGTAATTTCTCGTACAGTCAGTCGCTATGCCAAGTTCTAGTCGTAAAGACCATCTTCCCCATTAGACCGGATTCACGGCGCGATCTTTTTTTGCTCTCTTCTCGCCTCATTCTCACTGGCCAGGTGATTTTCGACTAAATTTGAAAGAAAATTATTTACTTTCTATTCTGGTCATCACTGAATTCAGAAAAGGGATAGGAATACCTCAGTCAATGGAAAAATCCAACCTCGGGGCATAGTTGTCTATTCATATGCTTAATCGAACGGCAATATTTTGTACTGAATATGGGAGATACACAGAATCCCTCGGGACTTCAAATAAACACCAGGACGGCTGCCAGCTCGATGGTCAGACTTTTCACGAGAGCCCTGAACGAATGTAATGCTGTACTTCTTGTTCCTCAGGCGAGGACGATCTATTGGCTGCTTTCATAGTCCGTGATTTGGCCCGTGAGCGAGCGACGGGGGCGGCGCTTGCCCCTTGTTTACAATTGAA